GGTGCAAGCCCACTCCGCAAGCCTGATAACAGATCAAACCGTGTCACTGGACCAATCCTTTCTTTCCTCACTAGCAGAAAAAGTGTTTCCTGATGACTTGGAAACGCTTTCAACCAGGGCCAGCACACACAGCTGGGCAGGTTGTGTACTTAGCCTCATCTAAGTGGCACGAAGCAGACATCATAGATAGGTACATTCATCATGATGATTTCCTGAAAGGGTAGTAACACCTCTTGTTCTAACGAAACCTGTATTTTATAACAACTTTCTGACAAATAGAAGTAATAAGTCTTGAGGAAGGGCACCGCTTCCGAATTTACACAAATTTGCCCTACGGGCTGGTAGTGGTGGTAAGCTAGCTCTTATCACTTCTCGCTCTTGAACTTTAATGAAACCTAGATTCTAACCATGCACTGTGATTTTCTTTGGCTTTTTCATGGCTCAAATGCATTGTATTAAACCTGCTTTCAGCAGTTAACAGTCTTTCCCTTTCCTCCTGCCCCATGTGCTTCCATGTCCCCACCTATCCTAGATCTAGATCTACCAACATTGTCTTCTAACTCACAATAGATCACTTTTCTTAGTAAACCTCATTTTCTCAAAATTTAAACATGGCTCTGAGGTTGTCCAATCTAAAAACACACCAGAATTCTATGATCCAAGAAGATAGGAGGCCTCCAACCAGAAGCTGTATTTACGAAGCCCTCCCTCTTCTGCCATATCTCCCTGGAATGGCTCCAGGGGCCTCTTAAAAGTCAGTTCTTAAAACTATTACCTTGTGTATGGCTCACATAGAAATATAAATCACTCTGAGTCAGAGTTGGCTCCAGCTCCTTCAAAAGTCAGCCGGAGGGTCAATTTAGACTCTAATTAAATTGCCACCATCACAAGCACCATTACAAAATTAACTCTAAAGAAGCACGTGGTTTCACCTTCAAAATCATTCTAATTCTGTTTTATACGAAACTTCATGTAAAACCTAGAAAAACATTGCGCAGGAAGAATGCAAAGCTGTTTCAGGAGAGTGGCTACCTCCGCGGAGGGGAGCCGGGCGTGGGCTAGAGCCGAAAGTCAGCAGTTCTCTGTATTTCTTTTTAACAAAATCTCAGACAAGGGTGGCAAAATGTTAACATGTGTTAAATGTGTGTCGTGAGCAGAGGGTATGTTATATTCTCTTCTGCTCTTTGGGTGTGTGAAATATTCCATAATTCACATTTTAAAATGTAAAAAGGTCATTTTTTATGCACTTTGGCTTCTAAAGACCACATCCTAATTATTCATCAGAGGAGCTTTAGGGATTCTTTGATGAACCCAAAGTAATCAAGTTCTGACCTGGCTAGACCTCTTCTCCAAGGTAAAATGACCATAAATATTGCTGCTGGTGAGGCTTGGAGGCCCTCCCACCTCCAGCTGGCTTGGTGCTGTCAGGACAAAGGGCAGTGCCAAGGCTAGGCCAGCGCACGGTGGACCCCCAGGGTATGGACGTGGCCCTCTCCCCCTGCTTTTGCTTCCCCTACCCCCACCCCCATTGTTACAGACTTCCACTAGTGTCTGCTTCTTTCCCTTCTGGAAAAACAGGCATGTTTTAAATGGTGTATCTATTCTGCCACCTAGCCTTCAGCCACCTCACTACAACAAAGCTGTCTCAAGCTGCTCTTCTCTTGATCTTGCTGAATTTCCCTCGTCTGGGCAGGGACCTGACTGACTGGGTACTTTATTTCTTGAAGGTCACACCGTACCTTAGTTTTGCACCAGGATGAGGTAGCAGCATTAGTATGCCTGATGTCTGCTGGCCTCTGGGAAAGGGACTGGTGTTAATCTCCTAAGGTCTTTAAAACAGAATAATTACTCACTGTGGAATAGTAGGCAAATCTCTGAGAGAGTGGTGAGAGCAATGTATAGGAGTGAATGAAGACTGTTAGTTGACATTTTTCCTTTCCAACCGGAGGAATCTATGATATTTTATGTCCTACTAAAGTCTAGCATTCCTCATCCATTATATCAGGCATCACCCTTGACTCAAAAATGATCAGAGGAAAGGACTCAAGCTTTATAAACCAAGAATGCTACGTACCCTTTAGAAAGTTGTACATATAAAAGCACAAATCTTTTACTCAGTTACTTCCTCGAAATTTGGTTTTGATGCCGAATTAATCTTTTTTAAGGAATGGGGAGGTGTGCTCTCTGAGGAAAAGGACACAAGTGGATGAAATTTAGCTTCTTATTTCTCTAAGAAAGATGTGGTTAAAAGGCATCAAAACTCAACTATGCCAGAGCTAGGAAGCAAGATAGTTGGGAAGCTTGTAGCAGTGAAGGAAGGAAGAGAACCTGGCATCTGCGTGTGCATCTGGCAGGAACAGATGAGTCCCTCCCCATTACGTTCATTGATGCTTTTTTTCTAAAAGCAATCTTCTGAAGGTGATTGTGAACAGGTCTAGGCCTTCAGAACAGAGAGGAGGGGGAATGGAATCGAGGAAGGCTCCTGGGCATATCCCATAATCTAACTCCCAGGACAGACCTTCCCATTCCACTGTCATACATTAATTGTGGATTCTTAGAAGCAAACTCATCCAGCCAGTATCCCATCTTTGAACAAAATGACTATAGACAATCCCAGGCTACTGAGAATTCTTTCTCATACCCTCCCAGGAAGCCTACCTAAGTGTCCCTTGGACAGCCGCTGACATCCCATCAGCTCTCCACCATCCCCACCTCCCCAGCCCCAGGACATAAGCCCACTCCTAAGTGGAGACACAGAACGGTCACTCAGCGTTTATGGACCTGCCCAGTACCCTCTGCCCCCCTACCCCAAGGACCTGCTCCTGCCACAACCTCCTCCTTCCTTCTCCCTACCTTTTTCGTCTTCCCTATGAATCATTCCCTCTTTATTTTACCTGTCCTCACACATTTTTCCAGCCACTGGAAGTCTGCTAGACAAAAAGACATGTCACTGGAGACCGTCTCTTTCAGAACAGAGGGTGACTGGAACTAGGCAACTCCCGTGTCTCTGGAAGCAGCACCACAATTTCCCCATTCATCTTAAATGCTACCGGTGTGTCTGGGGTCGGCTTTGCTGCTGAGTTGATGCAGAAATAGCAATGGGGGCCAGATGACACACCACACACTGTTCGGCCATTCTTCTGGTTTGAACTTGACACAAAGGGGAAAATGACCGCCCTCACTCCTCAACTATTTCGACCAATTTTTTAAATATTAATTTCCCCCTATCTTACCAGGTCTCCAGAGAGAGGGGAGAAGAAATGACAAGGAGCCTCACTGCTTTTGTATTTTTAATCATGACACACAGCTCCTTCTCCTTCTCCCAGCCAACATCTAAAACTCCTCTGGAGATGCGAGTGAGAGCGATTTAAACTTTAGCCTCGTTTTTTAAGATATGCCTTGAGGCAAATACATAAGTGAGAAGAGAGACAGGATCTGGGGGTGTCAACGGCATAGAGAGAATTGCTCCCTGAACCAAACCAGCTAGAGAAATATTTTCTTAAAAGCAGTCCTGCAAAAAGAATTCTTATCATAGATAAGGGTGCAGTCTAGTGGCAAACTTCATGAAATGCAGCCCCTTCTCCCAAAGAAAGAGCACTTCCAAAGGGATGAAAGGAAATGTAAGAAGTAACACTCCCGCCCCAGCTTCTCCCACATGGGACAGCAACGGCTGGTCATTTCTCTCTGACCTGGCTGTGAAATCCACAACTCATCCAGATCAATTTCAGAAAAAAAACTAAAATCTCCACATTCTTTCTTTTAAGACTTTAGCTTTCTTTCATTTTACTAAGGAAAGAAGGGATCCGTAGTGTCTGAATAGATGCCTGAGGTTCCAAATGGGATAATGTTCCTGGTCAGAATCTTTCCACAGCAGGTCCTCGGCTCATATTCCTAGGATGTGCTGTGTGCAGCAATTAACCTTACAACGAGGTATTTTTCTGGACTGTCACCCATTCCCTCCAAAGATGTGGCCCTGACCAATAGAAATGCCTCTTTAGAAGAACATGGAGGGAAAGTATTACTCTAGTCTGCCTTCCTTCCATCTAAAAATCCCACCCTAGGACATTTTAGGCCACCAGGCAAAATTATCAGACTGTGCATTTCCTCCAAGTGCCAGTCTCTGTAACTCACTGCTCCCCACAATCCTGTGGTCTAAATGTCCTTTCCTGAAAGTATACACAACATAGACACACACACAAAGACAAACGCGTGTGTGCATACACACACACACACACACACACACACAGAGCTTCCCTGGGCCAACGATGTAGCCAAAGGAAAGAAGCCATGTCTGGACCATATGCCCAAAGACAGTTATTGCACCAGCAACAGACTCTCCTGATTAAATCCCCTTCCCCAGGCTTGTAGGGGGAAAATCCAGTTTTTCTTCTTTTTCTTTCTTTTTAATTAAGCTCATCATCCATCGCTGGCCATAGTACACTAACAGCCCCCCTTCAGCACGCGCGCACGCATGCAGGCACACGCGTGCGCCTACACACACACACACACACACACACACACACACCCCTTACATGGTAACTTAGACACCAACAGACAGCCATTTCCCAAAGCTTGGGAAGAATTTCATGGGCACTGGATATATTGAGTTGGCTACTAAGAAAATGCTTTTCCCTCAGGCCTGGGCCAGTTAAGAAGGGTGGGAGGGAGGGGAAGACCGAGTTACTCCTCATTGTGTCCACCGTGCTCCGTATAACTCTCTCTTCCACTCGCCCCCCAGCTCCTCCGCCCTCGCACAGCCCCAGCCCTGTCCCCCGTGCCCCATTCTTACATTCCGGGGGGAGGAGGGCGCTGTTCAGGGAGCGAAGGGGAGCCCCCGTGTGTCTCGAAGGCCTCTCCCCACCCCCACCCCGTGTGAGTTCGTACTGCAAAGCTCCTTGGCATCCTTGCCTGGGTTGGGTGTTGGGGAGCTCAAATTGCAGCTACAAACTGGCTGGCAGCCAGGGGCCGTCTATTTAAAAGCGCCTGCTCGACCCGAGCCGGTAGTCTCTTTGGAAACTTCTGCGGGGGTAAAAGAGCTAGGAAGAGCTGCAAAGCGGTGTGGGGTTTTTCCTCTTTTTTGCTCCTTCTAATTACCCCCTCCTCCGTTTGCACCCTTCTCCGAGCTTCACGCAGAACCTGCGAATTTCGAAGAGGTGGTGGCAGAGTGGGAGAAAAGTGGTGTTAGGGTCTTGGATTTTTTTTTTTTTTTTTTCTTGATTTCAACATTTGTCCCCACCCTTCGCGGCTGCAGCCGCCGCCTCCTACCTGTTCCGCTGCAGCAGCGCGGCGCTCGCCGCTGAGGGGTAGAAAGGAGCAGGGTGTACTTTAGATTTTAAACAAAATTTTTGAAGACAAACCCATTTTTGTCCCCCACCCCGTCTTCTCCACGGCCTCCGAGCCCGTTATTCTGGTGGTTGCTTTGGGGTGAACAATCTTTGTCTTTTCTCCTTGCAGTTCTGAGCAGGTCCGGCTTGGGGGGTTGTTTCTCCCGCCCCGATCCCCGTGCGTGTACCTGGCGCTGCTCTTTTCCCCCCAACCTGTTGCAAGTCTTTAATCCTTGTCACCGGGACTTGCTTGCAGGCACCCCTGCCCTCCATCTCTCCCCACATTTTACGATTGTCTAGGGGAGGGCACCTGCTCTACCTGCCAGAATTTTTTTTTTTTAATACAATTCTCCCGGCGCTCTCCTAGCCCCTTATCCCCCGCACTCTCGCTCTCCTGCCCCGCCCCAAGGTAAAGGGAGAGATTCGAAGATGGTGCTCACCGCGGTCCTCCTGCTGCTGGCCGCCTGTGCGGGGCCCGCCCAGAGCCTGGGCTCCTTCGTGCACTGCGAGCCCTGCGACGAGAAAGCCCTCTCCATGTGCCCCCCCAGCCCCCTGGGCTGCGAGCTGGTCAAGGAGCCGGGCTGCGGCTGCTGCATGACTTGCGCCCTGGCCGAGGGGCAGTCGTGCGGCGTCTACACTGAGCGCTGCGCCCAGGGGCTGCGCTGCCTTCCCCGGCAGGACGAGGAGAAACCGCTGCACGCCCTGCTGCACGGCCGCGGGGTTTGCCTCAACGAAAAGAGCTACCGCGAGCAAGTCAAGATCGGTGAGCGCGCTCAGTGTGCCAGTCAGTTGCACGGCTCACGGGCGGGGGACGGGGAACCCGCTGGCCCCGCGCGCTTTGCCCAGAAAGTGGCTTGGAGCCGCGGCGCAGCCCAGGAGGGAGCGGGGAGGGTCTTTGGACCTCCGAATTGGAGTCCTGGGTGATCCAGCCACCCTGGGCTGTCTAACCCGGGCTCTCACGGTTTTCGCTCCTTCTCCTCGCCCCGTCCCTCACCCTACTCTCCTCTACCCCTTCCCCTCGCCGAACACCGACTCTGAGCTCCTCTTCGGTCTCAAGGTTCAAATCCTCAGGTACTCAATCTCCAGTCTGAAAGGGTGCCTGTTTTATTATCAGCTTCCTCCTCCACTGCCTCCTACCCACCCAACACATTTTTTTTTTCTGAATTTGAAAAACAAATCTCTTTGTTAAAATATTGCTTTAACTGGGATTCTGGAAAGAGGCGTTATTACGGTTCTTCTGTGCTCATTCCACCTTTGTCCCTCACAGCCCCTGCCCCCCTACCAGTCCCTTCTGACGTTTCTATCCTTCTACCCCGACACGCGAGCGCGCGCGAGAGCGCGCGCACACACGCACGCACGCACGCACGCACCCTTGTGATAGCTAATGCCTTACGGGTGGGGGCTCTGATGCCTCTCCCACCTTCATACCCATTACTTTCGACTTAATTTGATTGCGGTAGGTGGTAAATGCAAAATTCCTTTTTTCCTTCCAAGAAGAAAAAGATTACTTTAGGCAGGAACCACGGCAGCAGGTAGGTTAGTAGGGTATTGGGGGCGGGGGGCGAGGCATAAAAAGCAAGGATTCGGTGTTGCAGCAGGATTTGGTGTTCCTGTACTGGACGTTCATCGCTGAATCGAATTCCTTTTCCCCGCCCCAATTCAGATTTTACCTAGGAAGAAAGGTGAATATAGGATCGGAGACGAGAGGGGATGTGAAATTCAGACATCACAACTTCTCCGTCAGTACTAATCCCCCTCCGCCCTCACCTCTCAAACCTGATCACAAGGGATGTGGTTTAAAAGAGGGGCCCTGGTAATGCAGAACGTAAAATAAAGGAGGCGGAGACTAGCAAGGCCACGCCCCCACTGCCTCCCGTCCGCCTCCAAGTAGCCCCGCCCCCTGGTTGCCCTGTTCCCAAATTCTCCGCGCCAGGAGTCTACGGTTTAAAATGTTGACAGAGCTATTTGGTTAATTAGAACGGCTCTGCCTCCCTTAGACTGTTTTTGGTGGGTTTTTTTTTTTTTGGAAAGAACTACCTCTTAAATTTTTAAAAAATAGCTTAATGAACTATACACAACAGTATTAGTTGTGAGACTTCAGACTAATTATTGATTCTCTCCAAAAGGAGTTAAGACTTGGCTAAATGTTTCTTCTAAGTAGTTTCTTCCTCTCTTATCCCCTTATGTTACAAACACCCCAACATGAGTTTTCTTAAACTGCAAACTACAGACACTATCATGTAGGAAAAGAGTGCGTCGGCGATTGAGAAGAGGCAGAAGGGCTTTCCAGGGTTCAATCTTGATCTCCGAAAACGCGGCGGGTTCTGCCTGCTACAGGCGGCCACCCCTCCAGCTTTGCAAGAGGTAGACTCTCTTGGGATCGCTGCATGCAAAAAAGGGGCCAAGGGCCACATGCAGGCCCCGGAGGCCCCAGGGGCAGGTTTGTGGAGTTATTTTTAAATAAAAGCCACTTTTCAAAGGCGGTCCCGCCCGCCTTCATCTTGGGGGATATGGATTTGGAAAGCTTAGCACAGGGGAGTGGAGAGAGGAGCTATGAATCAATTTCCTGGCTTGGAAGCGAGCGCTCTGGGTAACAATCCGGTCACACCGAGAAGTATGCAAGGTATCACTCAGCCGCATTCTGGCCCCACTTTTATTTGCCCAAGTGTGGTTTGTGTGATGTGGTTGGTGTAGAGAGTGTGCGCGCAGAGCGCGCGCACGCGCGCAATTTCTGGAAGTGCAAATAGGCGCGCGCGTACACACACACACACACACACACACACACGCTTTTGTCCCAAGCAAGATGTTATTTGGATTTCTCTGCAGCCCCTTCCTCTCAACCTTCAAGGTACCTCTGGCCCACACAAAACAGCCTCGAGGTCCTAACCCCACCCCGGCCCCAGTCCTCACCCACTCCTCCCCGCTTTAAAGCAGGTGCCTGACCCACTGCAGTTGCCCAATGGCCGCGCTCAACTGGTGCCCAGGGCTGACACCTTTCTGTGGGACAGATGGGATGGGGGTGGGCGCTCTTGGCTATAGATTTTCAGCTCAAAAATCATTGGGAAAGTCCCCCAAAAGTTGGAGATGGCGCCTAGGTCAGTTCTTAAGAAAATGAACAGAGAGATGGAGGAGAGTGTCGGCTCCTTTGGACAAAATTCCTGCTCCCCAACACCTACCACCACCCTCCACTACGAAAACCAGCAATGCGAACTTGGGTTTGCCCCTCCCTCCCGTGGTTTCCGTATAGATATAGATACAGGTATAGATTATACACACGGAGAGAAAACATATGCATGTATGTATACAGAGAGAGAGAGAGACCTTTTTTAGTCCCCCCAAAAGAGTGCATTTCTAGTATCAGTAATAGCGGAGGAGAGCGAGGTGGCAGGCAGCCAAAGCTTCTGGGAGGAAGAGAGGAAGGCGGAGGGCGGGTGGAGACTAGTGTTTTGCTAGGCGCGTTGCTTCGCAACGGGAGAGGGAGTCCGCCCGCGAGCCTGGGGCTGGGAGCGCGCCGGGCCCTGCCTTTTATTTTGGCCAATTCAGGGGCAAAGATAGATATAGAAACAGAGGGTAATGTGTGAGAGACTGGAGAGAGGCGGGAGAATGCAGTTATTTATTGGGCCGAGATCGATAAATATCGGTGAGCTGGGTCGAGTCCAGGAAAGACTGGGCTTTGCTCCGGGCTTTGTTTGCCCAACGAGCCTTGCGGCTTTGTGGGCTGGAGGAAGGCGGCATCCTTGTCTCTGTCTGGGAGATCGCTCCTGTGCCTGGGGGACAGTAAAGTTAGGATACAGAAGTGGATTCTGGGTTGCAGTACCGTCATTGAGAAATAAGAAAGACAGAAAATATGCTTCTGGGGAATAAAAAAATAAGTTGCTCAATAAAAATGAATTCAGCCTTTGCTTCTTTCAGGGGTTTGGCCTACATTACCTTGGCTTCCACTCCAAACCTGGTCCAAATACCATGTTGATGTTAAGTTCCAGAGTTATAAGTTTATTGGCCAAATTTATGTCTGGGTTGAACAAGATCATGGAAAACTGAAAGAGGCAGATTCCTTTCCCACCCGCACTCCCTCCCTTTGACACAAGCCTTGGGAGGCTGGCTGCACCCTGTGCCAACCAAAACGGGAATGGGGAGACGAGATGCCGCTTTTTGCTTGATTTTTCCTGCCGGCACCCACCCCCACCCCCTGCCCCTTTCTGCTGTGTCAGCTCAGGCTGGAAGAGAAAGCACAGTTGGGCACATTTTCTTTCCATTCCTCTTTTCCCCTTCCTTATCCCTCCCTCCTACTCCCCCCTCCCTTTCTCCACCCCCATAGGCCAAGGCATCCCCTGAGGGCTTGAGTTTTAAGTCAGAGCAGCTGTGGTTTAGTCCAGGGGATTGGGCTGGATTTGAGCAAGCAGGTGGGCTTGCAGCTGCAGAGGGAGGACAGGGCTGACCCCAGGAGCCAGAGGTCACAGTGAGGGTTACAGCAAAGGGCATGAGAGCAGAAGCCTTAGTCCCCTTAATGGGGCATGGGGGAGGGGGGGAGCTAGTGGGAAGAAAGGTGATTTTTGTCTAAAGATTTTACTTTGTACCTGAGCAATGCCTTTGAAACTCTGCGTTATTTAATGTGTGGAAAATTAAAACTTTGGAGAAGGGATCACCATGCTCCAGGCTCACTGCATCTAGAAACTGGAAGACACCATAAAGGGACCAGGTACCAAGGAGGAACCAACCAAGAAGGAGAATGGATGTGGTGAGAGACAAGGAGGAAATTTGGAGGGGTTTTGAGTTTTCGTTTTGCATTTTTACTACAGTTGGTCCAAGAGTTGCGATCTCCAAAGACCATCTTTAAATTGCCATTTGGATATGTTTTCCAGAACCGTGAAATTTATTCCATACTTGCAAAAATAAATAAGCACATAAACAAGTCAGTTCTAAGCTTCTGCTTCCCTTTCCCCTATATCCAGAAGGTCCCCCAGTTTTGTTTACAATTCCATTTCTTTCCATGATTTCCGTTATGTCTTTTTTTTTCTAACATAAATCCAAAGGAGTGACTAGAAATTTTTATAAGAGGCAAAGTGGCCTTTCCTGCCTGGCCACTTGGCTTAGTTTGTTCCTAACATCTCTCCAGGAATTGTCTGGGTATTGGCCAAAGAATGCTAAAGCGGCAAGGAACCCACGTGATTCTTGCAGTCAAGGCCCTTATTTTTACAGATGGGGATGCTGAGGCCCGGAGCCCAGTGTCCCTTGTCCAAAAAGTGCAGGGCACAATCAGAACTAGAATCAGCTCTTCCCTCTTGATTTTAGGGTTCCGTTTTGTTATTCCTGGCTTTCTTCTCTAGTCACCAGGGCTCTTGCCTGGGCCTGGCCTAACCAGCAATGAGACCTTTGGTAAATATCACCACAGCTATACCATAGTGGGGGTTGCAAATATGAAATAAAAGCCCAAAACTTCGGGGTGCTCTATTTTAGGAGAGGAAGTAAAGTGGCCTCGAAGTGGAAATACAGGCAGCAGTCTGTAGTCTCTGAGGAGAACACGGCACAGAGTGGCCTGCTTCTCATGGCCACCGGCCTCCACCAGCACAGGCCTTTCATGGAGCCTGGGAAGCAGGATGGTGAGATCTAAGCCACTCTTCTCTGGGGGACGTAGAGTTCCACGTAGAGTTCCAACCAGCTGCTCCTTGCGCCCCCTTCTGATCATTCAGGACTATAGGGAGAATGTGGATGCATAATTGTAATGTTCTGAATGGGAGTTTTGCCAGGTCAGAGAAATGGGCT